TATAATGGATACCTGTAGGACTTAGAGAAAATCTTAAAATCAGAAACTCTAAAAAAAATAATTAATTATTATTTTAATTAAACAATTTATCATTATTCTAATTAAATAATATTTTATTATTCTAATTAAATAATTTGTTATTATTTTAATTAAATAATTAATTATCCTTAAAAAGAATAATTAGTTAACCCAAATATTATTAAGTTAGATCAAGTCAGTAAATAGATTGATTTGATTTAATTTAAAACTTTTGAAGTAAATTTAATAATAAAAAAAATGTTATTTTCTTATATATTTATTTTTATATAATATTAATATTAATAATTAATATTAAAAAATAATTTATAAAAATTTTTAGTTTTAATTTTATATATAAATCATAAAAAAATAGTTAGTATAATCAATATATTATATTTGAAAAATTAGGTAAAATTTTAATGATTTATTTATTTTTATTTTTTTATTTCTCTTATAAATTCTATATAACATAATTTCTTTATTTCTTTATTTTATTTATAATATTTTTAATTTTTAATTTATTTAATTTCATTTATTTTTATTATTTATATATTTAATTATTTATTTTATTAAAATATATTTTATAATATATGTTTTATAATATATGTTTTATTTAATTAAATTATTATATAATAAATAGTTAACTATAGTAAATAAATTTTATATAAATAGAATAACATAGTTATATATTAATTCTTTAAAGAAATCAATTAAACTGTTATATATATTTTTCTTTTAATATTATTATTATTTAAGATTTAATTATAATATACTTACTTTTAAGTTTATTATTTAATTTAAGGATTTTATTTTTCATTACTATGATGATTTATTATATGTCTTTCATATTATGTAATTATTATCATTATGTATACTATACATTATTTTTATCACTATAAATTTAATACAATAAATCAAATAAAATAGCAATCTTTTTTTTATTATATAAATCTAATCAATTATTATCTGATTGTACTTTGCAATCTTTTTGATAATATTCTACTTTTCTACATTTTCTATATTATTATTGACCTTTTGCATTAGATTTAGAAGTTTTACAAGCTGATTTAAATCTCTTAGTGCTTAATGAACACCTATTGCCACATTTTTTTACAAGAATAGTATTGATGGATTAGCTGAGTTCCCTTTTTTTAAGAGGATTTTTTATAACTGAAATTCTCTAATCTAACCTTAAATTCTAAATTCTAACCCTTTAATACTAATCCTAACTTAAACCTAAGCTTTAACTCTAAGTTTTAACCCTAAATTTGATACTTAAAAAATAACTATTTGAAAAAATACATTACTGTTATTATCTAAGATATCTTCAGTTATATTTATGCAAATGTAAAGTATTTGAAATAATATTTGTATATAATATAGCCAAAGCAAAAAAAGTAATGTGTTATAAATAACAGATAAACTGAAATAATAGTTATATATAATATATTTAAAGAAGTATAGTATTAAATTACGTAAATAATACTAAAGTTCTTTAAGAAATATTAAAATATTTTAAAATATGAGAGAAAACACTTTTGAGAAGAATAGTAAAAAGTGAAAAGTTATTAGAGGTTAAGAAAAAATAGTAAAGATGATAATAATTAGATAAATAAAATTAAAATGTCATTAATTTTTATGATTATATGAATATTATGTTGTTATAGAATCAATTAGTTAAATAGCAATTTATTAGATTATAATTATCAAAAAAGTAATTTATTAGATAGCAAAATAATAATTACATAAAATGATATATTGGTTGAGACAAAGTAAGTTATGTGATATGATACAGTAGATATTTTGTTAGATGAATATAGTTAAAATAGATAAATAATATAATTAGTTAAATAATAATAATATAATTAATTAAGTAATATAATTAGTCAAATATTTGTAATTAATTGTATTTAGGATACAAGAAGACAGAATATAAAAAAACAGAAAAACAGAAATGGAAAATAAAAATACAGATAAAAATAATAAGAATACAAGCAGAAATAAAATAAAAATTTGATAAGAAAGATATTGATAGTGTTATAGAAATTTCATTATATAAACCCTTAGAATTTTAGATAATTTTGGAATCATCAGTTTAATAAGTAATTGATCTACAGTTAATAGTTTTATAGTTACATATTAGAACTCTTTGTATTAATTCATTTTTTTAATAAAAATACCTTTATATTAAATAATTATTATTTGTATATCTTAAGAAATTAATAGTTTAGAGATAGATTTAATGAACTAAAAGGAGTAATATAGTTCGCCTTAACTTTAAGTAAGTTTATTGACTTTTATATCTTACTGTTTAATATTCTTGAGATTGATATTGCAATATTTTATATTAAATAAACTAAGCAGTAATAACATGTATATAAAAAACTAATGATAAATTTCATATGCAATAAATGATAATTTTCTTAATTTAACTATATAAAATTTAAATTTAATTGTAAAATTAATTTAAAATTCTATATATTTGTAAGATTAAAAGAATTTTTTAAGATTGTAATTCTGATAAATAAAATTAATTATTACAATCTTTTTAATTTAAATATTTAAGATATTGAAATTAAATTTGATATTAAAAGTTATTCTTTTTATAAGCATATATTTTATTAAATTAAAATTAATAATAACTTTATTATAAAATACTTTTTATAATTATTTTATATAGTTTTATTTATTTTTTTTTAGTTTTAAGAGATATAACTATATAAGAAGTTAACTAGGTTTAGTATATAAAATTAAATTTTAATAATATTATATAAGAAAAATGAAAGAAAGATTTATTATTCTAAACATACATTTAAATATAAAGTTAATATTATATAAAAAGGTTTTATTTTGTTAAAATAATATATTATAAAATTTTAAAATAAGAATTAATATAAAAAAATTTGTATTAGTCTGTTTACTAAATTGCCAATTCTTAGCAAAAATTTTGCTTTTTTTTAAGTTTAATTTAGTGATAATAGTATCTATTTTTAATATAAATATGCTATACTATTTGTCTTTTTATGAAATGCATGTTTTTTAATAAATTTAGTATAATATTCTATCAATATTAGTTATATAATGATTTTTTATTTAAGGTAAATAAAATTTCAATTATAAATTTTTTCTAAAATTAATAATCTTAAACATTTTAGTTTTATAAGTTTTTTTAGAATTATTAAAGACATTTTAAAACTTGCAAAAAGGTTATTATTATAAAGATTATTAAAGGAATTCAAATTAAAATAAAATGTTATTGATATATAAATTATTAGAAGAAATTCAAATCAGTTCATAGGTTATTATCTACTAGAAAGATAATCAAATTAAGTTAAATTCTAATAATAAATATATTAGAGCTCCAAAAAATTAACTTGTATTTTAACCTATGTAAGTGCAAATTTTTATTTAAGTTTAATTTAATGTAATAAAAAAGTACTTTAAAAAATTAAATTTGTTTTATAATTTAACTTTGATTTGATTCATTAAAAAGTTCTATATATATATATATAGCAATTTACTGATATAATAATATACTGTACATATCATTATTAGCTTAATAAAATGAAAATTTTTTTATTTATTTAATAACAATAACAATATTATATAATAATATAATAATTAATTTTATATCTAATTTATTAGACAAAAAGAATTTATATAAAATAATTTTTTTGCTTTATTAAATAATTATATAAAAAGAGTGTTTTTTTTTAAAAAAAAAAAAACTTTATTTTCAATTAAGAAAGCTAAAAAAAACCTTTTTTACATATGGGAGGCTATTAATATCATGTTCAAATCAAATGATTTACCGAAATCCTGATAACATGAAACCGACATCTATATTCCGATAACAATGAAAATTCGATATTTCATAACGATATACAGAATCCAGAATGCTAACAGTCAAGAAGATGACGATATATTAAATGTTGTAAGTTTTAAATAAACCAACCTAATCCTGACCGTCACCATTGGGTTTTCATACGAAATGTTCATATATTAAATTTGCATTTCTATAAAAAAGACAGTACTTTCATAGGCGGTATTATCTAGAATTTGCAATAACATATCAAAGACAGAACCGGGTGTAATAATTTTTATAAGTCCATATTTTTTTCTTTTGAGAATGCAAATTATGTAAAGAGGTATTTTAACAAGATATTTACCTCAGTGATCATGGACAATTTCGAAAAAAAATGATAGTTAAAAAACCAATTTTATTTACTATATATAGTATATCATTACGGAGATAATTTAAAAAGATTGTTTGAAATTTTAGTTAATTAGAACAAGCAATGGTGATAAGAGCTTCGAAATATTTCGTGAATTTTTTTTTTTTTTAATTTGAATTTGAATTATATAATTAAAAATTCCAATGGGAACTGCTTCGCATTATCAAATTTTCTTAAATTTCTACTACTTTTAAACATCAAAAGATTTCTTTTGTGTAAACTTCATATTTTGTCCTAAATTATACAAAGCCTTTACTTTCCGTTTGATCTTACCGCATTACGTTCTTTACCGTCTTTTCGTATGATCAACATTCATTAATAGGTGTAATTTCAATTTCAATTTATATTTCAATTTACATATCAAATCAACGAGAAACTATGAAAATAGTAATTAATGTATGCGATAGAGGAAAAAAAAAAATGGAATTGGCGACGTATTTCATGTTTCACCACAGAAAGAAACTTTTATTTATTATTTTGATAAGGACAATCTGATATTCGTATATTGAGGTAATAAATGTCAGAATTTTTAATTGGACTAGAATCTAAGATCAACTAAAGTTGAAACCAATTAATATACCAAAATCATCATATTAATCAATTTAGTAAAGAAAAGAAAAAAGTTTATAAAATAATCCTTTTTCTGCGAAACAAAGTTACGTGTCAGTAACAATATGAATTTAATTAGACGAGGACGATTATTTCCGAAAAATAAATTAAATAAGATTGCCGATTATTCTTTTTACTATGATATATTTTCATTTTAGTCATTTTAAAATACCGAGTAGTTATAACAACATTTTAGGTAATTTTGTCGATCCCATATTTTTGTTTCAATTTTGGGAAAGCTTCGATTTTTGGAAAATCAAAAAAAAAAAAAAAATTCCTTATATTCCTTATTATACAAATCCACTTCCCATCACTTGTATAAAAAGGTTGAAATTTCCTCCTTTGTCAGTATCAAACTTTTTCACATTTTCATTCCTTCTCTCTCTACATTCCTATAAATCACATCACCCGGGTAGTTATATCTCTCTCATTTCGTAACTTTAATCTCTTTCCTTTTCACATAACTAAACAAAAAAAAAAAAAAATAAAACACAAAAATGAAATTCCCTACAATTCTCTTGGGTGTCACTTTATATTTGGTCTCATCGACTGGAGCCGGTATTACTACAAATAGTCCATTCCAGTCTGTGACTTGGAATGGAGGTGAGCAAGAAAATGTTGTTTGGGCCGATGATGGAAAAGCTCCTGCATTAAGTAAAATTGGACAAGTAACTATAGATTTAATGGCTGGTGGAGAGGAAAACCAAGTTTTAGTTGATAATATTGGTAAAGCTCCTGCAACTGCTAAAACGATTTCCTACAAAGTACCTGTAACTGTTGGACCTCCCGGTGATTTCTATTTCATTAAATACACCTCTGGAAGTTACATCTCTTACTCTGGGACATTTTCTATTGAAGGAGTTAAAGGAACTGTCAATGGATTTGATCCAAAAAATCCAAATGCTAAGAGTCCAGCCAATGGTACTACTATCAATTCTCTCCCTACTTATAGTACATATCCAAAAATTGGTCAAGCTAGTCCAACCCAATCAAATGCTCCAACTGGGTCTCCAGCAATTCCCGCAACAAAAAACAATGATGCACCAAAGACTAATCCAATCGACGCTGACAAAACCGGCGATGCTATTAGTTTGATGCCAAGCTTTGTCGGTATAGCTACCTCTGCAATTGCCTTGACTCTTACCTATTTGTATTAATTTAGAAACGTATAAATATATTTAGAATCAGCATTTATAAAAAAAAAAAATTTATTTTAATTGTAATTTAATTTCCTTCCTCATTTTCCTATTAGTTAATTTGTTAATTTTTTTTATAAAGAAACACATGAAAGACAATTAATTACTTTGAAAAAAATCCTAATTAAAAAAGTTATATTATAGACCTAAATGTGTTGTTTTATAAAACGAAATACTATTAAATTGGATGATTGACCGAAAATCGTTACTTTTATATGTCTTTTCTTTTATAAATATATAAAATAAATGATTTTTTTTCTTAATAAATCCAGTAACACTAACACATTTTATACTACAAATACATATATATTTTTTTTTGATTATTTGAACAAGTTTATTAGTCTAAAGGGAATTTTTTTTTTTTTATAAACTGCAAAATTCTAATGTGTGGAATTTTTTGATATTTATTTTTAATGTTTCCAAGAACCTTTACCGGAAATATTTATTTACAGAGTCATATATTCGAAATTTTAGTATCCATTCTTTTCATCAAGGTGAAAGATTAACGAGGGAAAATGGGATAGTGGGATGGATAATAGAAGAAATGAAAATATAAATGTCTCTTACTTTTTTTTTTTTAATTGACCCTAGTAATTTCGATAATAAAACTGATGTCATTTGAGGTCATTTCAAGGTCACGTTAGGGTCATTTACCAACGCTGTTATGAATTCAAGCTTGAGTCTTAAAATATTTCTAAACATATACTGTAGTAACCTGATTTTATATCAGGACTGAGTTCACCTCTCGATAATTTATCGGAAATATCTTTCTGAATATAAAAATTGTAGAGAAAGAATGTTTTAAGAATTTCTTATTATGCTTATCAGATAATATTTTCTAAAACTTGGAATTTTTCTTACAAATGTAGAAACGGACTTGGCATTTTGGGCCCAAATTTAGAAATTCACGTGGTGTATCGGATATAAATCGGATATAAATAAATAAATAATTATTCATTTTTCTTGCATTGTTATAATACAAATCGGGATCATTAAATTGATCTAAGTTGCATAGTGAAATAATTTTTTACGCGATTTGGAAAATCAGATCACATTTATTATTAAATTACCATAAAAAGGATAATATGGTTTAAAGATTACAGGTAAAGTCAAAGGTTAATAAAAAAAACGATTATTTCATGATTTCACGACTGCGCCGTGAAATCATTGATATCCGTGAAATTACACAAGTTCTTTTTTCTCCTTCGAAGACTTTAAGGCTAATGATGGGGCCATCATAGATTTGGATACTACATTGTGATGGGATTAATATTTTTAGGGTTTGTTGAATTTGAAAATTCAGTTCGCAAAAGCATAATGGTCAATAATGAATTCTTAGGAAGGAAATCTGAACAGAAAAGAATTTTTACTTTCAATAGTTTACATACTTTTAATTCTTTTAACATGATTGAAGATTGATGTTGCCGCGCCTATGAAACAATTTAGTTTCGACAACATTTTTTCTCTTTGCATTTACTAATATACGGGTATTTGCGACGAAGATGATTATTGGCTCAATATTCAACCGAGTTTAGGGTCACACGCACTTACCATCCGAATGATCAAGAAATGAATTGGGCGACAAGTGATTGTCACGATGGTCGCAATTTCTAAAATAGGAGAACAATAATTAATAAGCATCAATGAAGAAACCGTTTTTAATTTAATTTATTTTGTTCTTTTATACAAACACATATACATATACTGTATATATACTAATTAAATATTCATCGATAAATAAAAGAAAAATAGGACCGAACATTTCCCGACAAAAGATTAAACGCCGACGGGAATCGCTATGGAATCTCCGATCTAAACTTTTGATAATCTAAGATCCTTTTTCTTAACCACAACTATTATTAAAATGGTTACTATTGTGAAATTCAAAAAAAGTTGGTTTTTTTAAGCAATTTCTTTTCGTAAAACCTTTCACATTTAAAAATTCCTTTTTATGGCGTGATTAAAAAAAATTGTAAAACAAACCTTTTTTTTACGTAATTAATTAATTGGTGATTCCGAAAAATAATCGTTGTGTCGCAAAAATCTTCCTTAAAATGAATTAATTTCTTTTGTAAATATTTTTTTAGGTTTTCTTCAACCCAAAAATATTTCTTATACTAAAAAAAAAATAAAAATTCAAAAAAAAATTTCATTATTTAACGATTAACCAAACCATATAAATTTCAATAAAAAAAGATGGCATCAGAAAAAGTAGAAACAACTTTGGATGTTCATGAATCTAACGTAGAACCTACCCCCAAATCTCTTAAAGAAAAATTTTCATATGTTTTATCGAAGGATTTTCTCATCATAGTATTACTTGGACAATTCCTATCATTCTGTATTACAGTTACTATAGTTACCAGTACGGAATTATCTATCAACCATAACGCCGAATATCCCACCACGCAAACATTTTTGACTTATATCATTTTAGCCGTTGTCTATACTCCCTACACCATTTATAAGAAAGGAGTTAATGGTTGGATTAATATCTTTTTAAAAAGAGGGTGGAAATGTAAGTTTTGTCATGTGATCTTGTGTGCATCCGCAGGAATATTGACCTTGGCCGAATTCTTTATCGTTTAGACGCGTTATTATCTTTAATTGACGTCGAAGGAAACTATTTTATCGTGAAAGCATACCGTTATACCTCACTTCTCTCCACGATGTTACTTGACACTTGGACGATTCCATGCGTAGTCTTGTTATCAATCATCTTCTTAAAGATTAGATTTCATTGGAGTCAGTACCTTGCTGTATTAATTTGTTTAGGTGGCATAGCTGCATTAATCGTTGGTGATTTCAAGTCAGATAAGGACATGAATACGGGTAAGTTAAAACAAAAGATCTCGGAGGGAAATAATTAAATTAAATTCATTAAATTTATTTATCATTCGCAGGCAGCAATTTAATATTGGGAGACATATTTTGCTTGATAAGTGCTACTTGTTACGCCGTTTCCAATGTTGCGGAAGAATTCTTGGTTAGACAACGACCATTTTGGGAAGTCGTGGGTCAGTTGGGTATATATGGAACCATAATTAGTGGTATACAATTGTAAGTGGAATTAACACATATTTTTGCATGTAGACTTTTAACGCGTCTTTTAATGTTAATTTGTATCTTTAAAAAAAAGGGCGATACTGGAACGGGGAGAATTAGTCAATTCAGCTTGGGACGGGAAAATTGGTACGTCCATTCATTTATTTCAAGAACAAAATTTATAAAGATTTTAAATTTAAATTTACATATTTATATGTATTTAATTATTTTATAGTCGGATTAATTATTGCTTATAGTATCGCAATGTTCAGCCTTTACACCTTAGCCCCAATTTTGTTCCAAATGGCTTCTGCCACATTCTTTAATCTCTCTTTATTGACAAGTGATTTCTATTCTTTAATTTTTGCTATATTCTTATTCCAAGCGAAGGTATTTATTAATCTTATTTATTTCTATTTTTTTAAAAAAAAAAAAAAAATTTCTAATTAAATTTCAAACGCCTTTTTTTTCTTGATATAGTTGCATCAATTGCATATAGTCGCATTTGTTGGTACAATGTTAGGTCTTACGATTTATAATATTTATCCTGCTACTAAACCAAAAGTTGAACGTGTTAAGGATGAAGATGAGGGTTGAAATGAAATATCTTAAATTTTTGTATCAAATAATTTTATGTATTTACAAATCTTGTACTAATAATTATTGTATTATGAATATTATGAATTAAGTATATTATACTAATAAATGTTTATTAGACCAAATTTTCGTGCTATTTTATCAAGTATTTGTTTTTTCTCAAAATTTTTCTTTAAAGTAAATACCATAAATTGAACGTAAGCTTTGGTGTTTTACGCCTCAGCAACTTGTTTCTGAATTAGCCCAAGTTCACATCCTTTCAGTCTTTGGACCTTTGAGATTGACCGTATGTCAACTAACGGAAGTTCCCCGAAGTTTGAGTAATTTCAAATATAACCAATAGGAATATAAAATAAATGGTGCAAAGATTATCAGATTCGGACCACAAGCCGTTTTTGCTCTTCAGATCGCTTTGAGATTATAGAAGATCAACCTGATATTTTGATCACCAATAAAAATAAAATAAGTACACATATTCTCTTTTTTAACATCCAATGTTAGGGTTACACTATTTACATACTGCGTTAAAAAGAAAAGATTCAAAATTTTTTTTTGGGCAGAATCAAATTTTTTTTTTTTTTAATTTCATTTAATCTCGGATTAATAATATAATAAAATTACATTGATTTTCTTTATGTTTATTGCTTATATTTCAGTCACATTTTTTTTTTTTTTGTAAGGGTTTAACAAAATTAATTTATGCAATGACAAATTCCCAAATATAGTAAAGTTCTATCTTAAGTTTTGTTTTTCTTGTGGCACATAAATGGACGAGAAGCTTATAGTGATATCAATTTGCAACCAATGAGACTTCTAAAATGAACTATTGCAGATAATTTAGGAAATAATCATTTATTATAAATGGTTAATTCAGGGTACAAAAGAACGTTCTAACCTTTTAATAATAAAAAAATCCAATAAAACACCAATTTTTTTTTTAATGTATAATATTTGTTATGATTATTTTTTTTGCATTTGTACAAAATAAATTAATTGAAATTGTTGTTATAAATATGGGAGTTTATAAACCAAAATTCCAAGTAATGATATAGAAAAATATCTCGCTTTACGTTTCCTGTTGAAATGTCGGTATTTAATCAATCTTTTGTTGCAGCAATTTGTGCGTTCTTCCTCTTGATATCATCCGTCTTGGTACCTGGAGTTTCTGCTCAAAATTTGCCCACGGGTCAATGTGTTACTGAATTTAAGGCCGGTAATGACTATTTTACTGATAAAGTTACCGGTACGTTTATTTGAAATGTTTCCTTTTTTTATTTTCCTTTATTTTTTTTTTTTTTATTTACCTCATTCATTTTAAATTTGCATTTAGTTGAAACCGCCACCTTGTTTAGCGTCGAGTATTTCAATCATTATAAGCTCGTTACGAATACAAAGACCAAAGAAGTATTTGGGCTTTATCAATGTGGAACCATCAATGATCTTCCAGCGAACGTCAAGCCGTTTCCCATTTCCGTAAATAGTGTCGCCGTGACCGACACCAGCAGCAGCGCTTTTCTCGATGTAAGACATCATGTTACACTGAGCACGTGATACTTGATACGTAATTAACCCTGATCGGGTTTTCCAAATAGATGCTCGGACTTCGTTCGGTCATTAAAGTGTTGGGCTCCGCCGATTTAATCTCCTCACCATGTTTACAATACGCCAAGGATACTGGGGAGATCACAATCCTCTCCACCAATGAAACCCTTAACGAGATAACGTTAGGAAAGGTTGATCTGATATTTGGAGCGACTGATGCTGCGACGGATCAAAAATCTGTTTCGGTCTCGACAGCAAATGACCCAGGAGTATTAAATCGAGTTGAATGGATAAAATTTTATTCCGTGTTTTTTAACGCGGAATCAAAAGCTAATGAGGTGTACGGAAAGATCAAGTCAAATTATGAGTGCTTTAAGAATCTGGTCGTCAAGAACACGCTTGCGGAAAAACCCGTGGTGGCTTGGGTAGCCTACGAGGCTCCATCAGAATTTAATCAAAATACGGCCGCATACAAGATTGCTGATGCCATGTTTAAAAAACAATTGACAGAAGATGCCGGCGGAATTTATTTCAATTCCACAACCTTATCTTACTCTATTTTAGGCGATTTCCTCAAAGTGATTGAGAATGTTGATATTTTAATTGATGAAACTTTCATCGCCCCTACCTTGGATGATGTTTACAAGAATTTTGAATTGACCCCTGATCAACAAAAATACAAGTTTCTTAAAAATCAAGCGATTTATCGTGAAGATGGTTTGACAGGTCCAAATGATGGGCGAGACTGGTTTGAGAATGCTGTTGTCATGGGGGATGCCTTGCTCGAAGACATGATTAACGTAGTTAATCCTAAATTACCTAAACCTGATTATCAACGTATTTGGTTAAGAAATGTTGCCAAAAATGAGCCAATTAAAATTTCTTCTTCAAACAATTGTTCTGATATTAATCAACCATCATTCGTGAGTATCATGTAATATTTTTTTTCTTTTTTTTTTTTTTTTTTTTCGACATCGATTTAATAATCCTTTCTTTCTTTCTTTCTTTCTTTCTTTAATTTTTATAGAGTAAAGCAGACGATTGTTCAGCTCTTCCTCCCGTTTCTGTCAAAGGAGATGGTTCTATTTCTTCAACCCCTACTTTCTTTTCTTATCTTATTGCATTTGTTTTCAGTATCCTTCTTCCAATATTTCAATAATTTAAAATTCCGTCACCTTTTTTCTATATTATTTAAATATATGTAATTTTTATGTTTATATATTATGTATACATGCAAACTTTCAATGAAATCACTTAATTCATTTTAATAAAACAAGTTATCATTAAATTCAAACTTCTTGATGAATGAAATTTTGCGAACGCGACATGGGTTTTCATTACAGCCTAATTCTTGTCCCCTTTTTACATGTTACATGAAAAATTTGATGTTGCAGCTTGAAATTTTAATTGGATAATCCATTTATTAAAAGCATGCTCAAAGCTGCTTTTCAGAACGTCGTCTTTAATAAATCATGTCCGCACAAGAAAACCTTCTTTTTACATCAAAGCTCATCTCCCCCGAAGTTCAAGCAGCGTTACCTAAGGGCTATACCATTCGACCCTTAGCTAGTGACGACCATGAACGCGGTTTCCTTGACGTACTTTCTGTTCTTACTGTGATAGGAAACATTACCAAAGCGCAATTTCTCGGTACATTGACGTGTTCGCTTACTTGTAACTATGGAATTCTGCGAATATTTCTCAAGGGTTTAAGTACTTATTAAATCATTTTTATTTAGAACGGTTCTTTTACTTGAAAGCCCATAACCATGAATATTTTACCCTCGTGATTGTTTCTCCCCAAAACCGTATTGTTGGGGCTGGAACAATATTCGTTGAACGAAAGTTCATTAGAAACACCGGACTAGTCAGTATTTTACCATGAGTATCCTAATTTGTGAGGAATTTATTCTAATATTCTCTTATCATCTATCTTGTAGGTTGGACACATTGAAGATATTGCTGTTGATAAAAATCAACAAGGCAAAAAACTTGGTTTAAGGTGATTTTTTATCATTCATGAGGTAGATTTAATAAATATATGATTGACTCTTTTTTAAAAATATATATATATATATACCCAGAATTATTCAAGCTCTCAAATACATTGGAGCTAAAACTGGTTGCTATAAAGGTAATATTCGATCCTTATTTTTTTTTAATCTTTTTTTTTTTATCTTGACGGCATTTTTAACTTGTGATTGCAATTTTCTTTTTTTTTTTTACTAGTCATTTTGGATTGTTCTGAAAAGGTAAAAAATTAATTGTATAAATTAAACAAATGTTACAGAACACTTGAACAGATCACTTACTAATGCTTTAAAATGAAAAAAAAAATTTTTTTACAGAATGTTCCTTTCTATGAAAAATGCGGGTAAATTACACCTTTATTTTTTTTTGTTTTAAAACTTTTCTCTCGTCATTCCTTACTAATTTTAAGAATGTTAATAACATAGATTTCAGAGAAAAGAAGTTGAAATGGCTTGGTATTGTAACGAAGGCCCTATCAATGCTAAATTATAAATATTTATTTCCTTTTCTTTATTTATAGAAGGTGGTGGTGTATTTGTATTTGCTGCGAGAGATAAAAATTCAAAATTAGACATTAAACAATCACCGATGTTATCCATATTATTAATTATCTATTTATATATTTTTTTATTATTCATATATATATAGATATATTTTATATTCTTGAAAAATTTTTTTTTTAATATTAATAGATATTGATTTTTCGAATTTTTCGGTCTTGTACGACTAATTTCTATAAAAGGAAATCTTACAAATATAAATAAAAATTTTTTGCGATTTTTAAAAAAAAACCTTTCCACTCGACTTTAATCGTAATTTAAATGTTTTGGGATACTCAGAATAAATTTATCTTTGAATCAATTTTTTCTCATTGCCAAATGATTTATTTATTCAATCGGTGGATGTAAACAGAAAATGTTTAATCTACATAAAACAAATTCATCGAATAGAAAAGATTTTATAAAAAAGAAATTGACGCGTTTGAAAAATCAGGATTTTCATTTCATCATATGATCCCCTGATTTTGCATAGTTAAGTTACACTAAATCTGTCAATTCAAAACCTATTTATAAAGCCACGATTTACAAGTTTCGTTTTTCAAATTATTTCTTAGAAACGAGATTAGTTAATATTCGGTACTTGAAAGTTATGGACGAAAATCACTTTGCCTTCACATGGAAGATAAATTGCTTTAATGAGCTTGTTTCTCGACACCCAAATGGTAGTTTTTTCTATAGTGAAAGGTTTTGGTCACCGAGAGGGCAAAGTGGAAAGTCGACCAACATCAATGTCGTTCATGAAAATAACTCACACAATAATTCCGGGTATTTGTGGAGGCTAAAAATGTTTCCTAATGGCGTAGATAAGAAATCGAATGATTACATTTCTCTTTATCTTGAAGCAATTCAAACACATTATGAGAAACAAAATAGTATAACAGGAAGGCACAAGAAATTTCGACTAGCGCTTTATCGAGTGGATTCAAATATCCAAACCACGAAACAGAGACCAATACTTGTGATAGATCGTCATACCTTGGAGACGAAATTTGAATTCAATGGGGTGCACGCAGATTATGGATTTGCAAGAATTATCGCTCTTAAAGAATTATTCCCAAATGATACTACATTGACCGAAGTAGATTTATTAGTCAGAACTCAAATTTTCGAGGATACTATAACACCTGGGGAGGGTTCAAGTTCAATGGACATTGTAAGTAATATATCACTTATGCCCTTTGAAAGATATTTCGGTGAAGAAAGATTTTGTGATGTTGAATTCGTATTTGATTGTGGTTCAAGCATGAAAGCTCATAGGGTCATTCTCGCAGCACGATCAATGTACTTTGAAAGAATGTTGGGAGGTGAATGGATGGAAAATCATATGAAAACCATCGCCATCAGAGACATGCCATTTGACGCGTTTCGATGTATTGTTCACCATCTTTACACCGGAAAACTTGAAGAGGGATTGACATTTGAACTCTTAAGAGATATTTATTCTAAAGCTGATATGCTTAGTTTAGAACAACTTGGTCAAATGGCTGCAAAAAGAATGGTTAATTTGATGACTAATGATAATTGGGATCAAGTTTTAATGTTGGGTTGGAAATTTTATGATGATCGATTAAAAGATGCCGGTCAGGAATTTGCTGTGAAACATTGGAACGTTATAAAGGATTCCGAGAATATGAAACAAGTTTTGGCGAGCGGTCACGTTGATCGAATCGTTGAGTTAGTCTTACAAAGTTTTTTTACACCGAATAATACAAGGATAGGTGAGTAATTTAATTTATGTTCAGCACATACTTTTTTTTTTGTTTTAAAACAAAAAAAAAAATATATTCAAGTGTGCATTTATAATACGTTTTTTCTTTCTAGAATTCTTATGATTATGATTTCTTTCTATTCATTAATGTCACGAGTATGGTTATATTCTATTCACATTAGCCAGACTCAAATCATTTAAATCGAAAGAAAGACAATGACATTGAATTAAATAGTTTAGTTCTTCTAAAAATTAAGGACTTTTTATGATATGTTTTAATAAAAATATTTTTTTTTGTTCTTTTTTTATATATACACACATACATATTTATTTCTTTCTTTCTTTTTAATTCGACCTTGGTATATTTATTTAGAGCTTGATTGGTTAATAACCTTTATGATCAAGGGTATAAATAAAACAATATATATATATATATAGACTATTAGTACTATTGTATATAGAAAAAATAATGATACTATTCAATATTAGGAAAATTTTATGTACTAGTATAAGATAACTTTAGCAAAATAAACACCCATCTCTGTATAAACTAAATATTAAAATAAAAAATAAGCATCATCATAATTATTTGAAATTTACAAATGATCAATAATCTTAAAATCGGATTTTATTGGACTTAATAATAATATAGTAGAAAAAAAAAAAATATAATAAAAATTATTATTATAAAATTTGTGTGTGGATTTCTTATTTGAAATTCATTAAATTTTTATTATTTTAATGTTTATGTTGTCATGTAATTCATTTAAGTTATTTTTATTT